GCCGGTGCCGCCGCACCGCGGCGTGGGGACCTGTGCCGAGGATGCAGGTGCCTCGGTTACATTCGCTTCTGGCTTTTTTTGCCTTTGTTTTGAATAACTGGCATGCTTCAGCAGAGACTGAACCTCACCCTGCCTGGCCAGGTAATGGGCTTTGCCCCTGGGGAGGTGAAAAAGAGAGGATCGGAAGGGGTTGCAGAAGGGGAAGTGGCTTTTTGCTGTCAGCTGAGTTATTCAGGGTTTTAATCAGTGAGGTGGATGTATTTTGCAGCTCACCACGTCTTCCTTTTCTGAGGGACTGCTCAGGTTACTTTAGAGGAGAAGTTAGTTGGCTTTCTCCTCATAACAGCTACTCTCAATAAAGTCTATGTTTTTGGGTTTGGCTGTGTTTCAAACTGGAGTTGAAATTAGGAAACGCCATCTCTTTAGGAATTTATAGATGTAGTATTTTGTCCAGGTTTGGCAGGAAATCCTTGGATTTATTTATCCCTTCTGGAAACAAATACTGACTGTTAGACCGCTTTAAAACGAATTAATCCAGGTGTTTTCTTTTGGAAGTTGGTCTTGGTAAAGTGTTCGAGGTGGGGTGGTGGGGGCCGTGATGCTTAAAAAAAAAAAAAGGTAGCTTTTTTAACATCTGTGAAAAAGTGTTAGTTTATTTTGGTTTCCATGAGGAAGGAAAAGATGAGTGTGTTTTAAAAGAAAAAAAAACCAAACAGATTTTTTTTTTTGACTTTCCAAAATTCTGCTGAAAGAGCAACATTTTCTTAGTCCTGCAGTGGGTATTTTGTTTGGGTTGTTTTTTTTTTTTCCCCCTCCTTCACTGATTAAAAATTGCAAGCAAGCCCATCGTAGGGATGCCAGAGGTCCTGGCCGCGCTGCTGATGGGGGTCAAGGACATCAGGTGTCTCTGCAGCTGTGAAACTTGGGGACAGCTGCGGGGTGCCGACCGCCCGGCAGGTGAGCTGAGATGGCCGCTTCAAGCTGGAGCTGGGTGGCGATGGATACCACGATGTCACATCTGAGGTGACACACACCACATAAGGTTTTTCCCTGGCTGGGGGTCCCGCCGCTGTGGCCAGATACTCGTTGTGGGGTGATGTTGGGAAGGGTCCAGGGACCCTTGTCACAAGAGTCAGATGTCCTTGAGGGCTCTGGGAGCATCACAGCTGCTTGTGGTCCGGGCCGCAGCCCTGGGTGGTACATGATCCTGGCAGGAGGAAAGCTAGCTTGGGGCTCCTCCACACTGTCCAGCCCCTCACAAAATAGGACAGGGGCCCCTGGATGGTCAGGGGAGGAGGCAGTGGGTGGGAGAGGAGCGGGTGGGATGCGGGGAGGGTGCCAAGTGGTGGGTTGCCGCAGGAGGACTCGGGCTGAACCTGTGGCCTGATCAGTGCTGTTGCAGTGGTGGTACGGGAGCCTTGCCCTGCTCATGAGCTGGAGCATGACCCCTCATCCTGGTGAGGAGACAGCACTGTTACTCCATCATTTTCCTTAAATACTGCCAAAGGCCGAGTACTGCCTTTGTTTCCGTAGCGCTGCTTTAAGAGAATGGATTATTGGTCTGCTCCTTGTTTGGCAAATGGGAGTTTAAAGCAAGCCCTGCATTTCCAGTAGAGTTAGATTTGAAGCAGTCTGTTGTTTTTTCATGTGAATTGCAGTGTTTGACTGTGTAACACTCTGTCATGTCAGAAGGGATTCGTTTACCCCTGTCAGACTCATTGGCTCTGTCAGCAGAGCTCACTGTTACCGAGTCGGGGAAACAGACGCTGGATTTATAGGTTCTACAGAAATCCTACAAATGTGGTGCTTGATTTAAAAACCAAACTGAACCTGATGTTTCAGATCTGGAGGACTGTTTCCATCCAATTATAACACTGCAAGTCACACGTTTTGATCTTTAAAACCTTGGCAGTGTCCCTCCAGATCTATATTCTCTTTGAAAAAATATTGCCTGAAATATTTCTGCAGCAACAGTTCAGGCACAAATTTCCTTTTGTCAGTGATGCCTGCTCAAGTAATCATGACAGTTTCATACTGTTTTCATTGAAAGGGCTGTATCTGTCAGATACTAAGCCTTACAAAATATTGCCTGCTGGAAAAGTGTGTGATGTGCAGATTTATGCAGGGCAGCTCAGCAAGTGAAATTTCTGTGGTGGGGGATGAATTCAAGAGGGTCTTGTCCTTGGATATTTGAATAAGAATTTGAATCTGTTTTCTGACAAGTAGCTATTTAGCCTACCCCCCTATCCCCAAATACAGCAAAATTATGAGTTAGGCATGTGATTGAAATAAAGCTAGTTGTGCTCTCTAAATGCAGAATTACGTTGTGGGGCCCGGTTGCTGGCATATGGACGTGGATATACACAGCGTAGGTGTGAGTCTTGCCCATACGTGTCAGTGGCTGTGGGCTGGAGGAAGCACCTGCATATTAGTGTTTAGTCCCATGGACCAAGAGG